TCCGGTGCACCCTCATTCACCTTGTTGCCAACAGGACCTTCTGGTGATGTCATCTCCCGTAGCGCAGGCAGTGAGACCTCCAGAGAGAGTTTCCTGCGAGTGAAGTGACATTTCCATTAACAGGCCTCTGTTATCACTGTCTACCCATGGGAACATTAGAGCAATGAGGTGATTTAAAGTGATCATAAATAGTAAACTAAACTTTGTTTTGTAAGCTAAAATCACGTAAAACCTTACAAATATGCAACGTTTTAAATGTTTCTCTGTGTTGTGTATAAAAAAGAGAATGAAACAAGATAACACAAGACCTCAGACCTCAGTTAGGATACAGTTTTCAATCGGGGGTAAAACAAATGCTACCAACCTGTCCATGAAAAGATCATAGGAGCCAGGTGCAGAAAGAGATCGTCCTGACCGTTGGAACTTCTCACACCGAGTTGTTCCATCACTGCAATTGTGACCTTCTGTTTCTGATCCCTGGCTGGCACCACGTTGCTGGCCAAATGGGTTCTGTAACAGTGGATACATAAAATTCTGTACATTGGTTTTTATGTAGCTTATTTCTATTATCAGCAGTCAAGCACGATGAAAGTTATAAAACATTAATAAAAGCAAAGCAAATGTTAGGTCTTATACATATGTATTTTGTTTATGTAAAATTCTGCATTCTGTAAACTTGTAAAGAATCAGTAAATCATATTTGATTTATTATTTCTGTCATTAGTCCCGCGCCGTAGCCGCGCGGTCTGAGGCATCATGCTTCGGACCGGCGATACGGAATGTGCGCTGGTTCGAGTCTCGGGGGAGAAGAAATTTTCTCATGAGCTTTTGACCAGTGTATGGGACCGGTGCCAACCCAGCATCGTGAGGAAATTGGGGTGCTACAATGAGTAGCGTAATCCGGTCATGAAAACTAGCAATGGCTGGGGGTTCGTCGTGCTGACCACACGTCATCCTATATCTGGTTGGATGATCGTTCACCTCTGCTTAGGCATGTGAACGTGAGGCCAGCAGTCAAGTTAGTCGGCTTTGGCTCTCTGGAGCTGTTACGCCACGGATTTAATTTTAATTTTAATTTCTGTCATTAATCCTTCAAAATGTAAGGAAACATTTGTCATCTGTTATCGATGAATATTGTTTTCTAGGTGTACTTAAATACATTAGATTTCAATGGCACATTTTAAATCAGGTAAAGATGCATACTAAAAATGAACCTGCATCAATTGGTCAGAACACCCTGAAGGCTGGCACTTAAGCACCATAAATTTAATGTCTGTGCTTTGAAAAAAGTTTCTTTCTTTTACAAAAGGCCAAGATTATAAAATTCTAAACCTTTTCCGGGCTGTAAATAAAGTAGTAACAGCGAAATTTGTATTTACTAGAATAAATATTTATGTTATATTATCAGCTAATAAAAACTATTAGTACTGATATATGAAAGTATGATAATGAATATTATTATGACTTACAATTTTTATTTTATGGGTGGATGAATGTCAATGAATGCTCAGGAGAAGAATCTTTGGAACATGGTAATGGACTCCTGGGTACCATATAAGGTAAGGAATTTCAAATGATTATTTTTTCATAGCTCTTTTTATTCCTGTTTTATTTTTTGAACATCTGAATAACTGCCAGTTTCTCAAGATGCACTTTGTCCCACAGATGTAGTTAGAATGCCAAAGAGAAGCTCAGTTCAGCTTCTTTGCCACCATTATCCAAAGTTATAAATATGTTTTTATATTTTGTGATAGGGACAACTGGAGAGCTCTTTTTGGGCAGAGCAATGGACCTGTCGTAAGACAGAACACTTAATAATAATAATAATTTTGTGATAACATAGGTCACACTGAAAAGTTCGGTCAAATGTGGCCTATGCACTGCGCATTACCACTACCTTAAGCCACAAAAATCACTCTGTCACGGCCAGCACCAAGTCTAGTTGCGCAATAACTTAGAAACGGACATAAGAACCATCTGAAGTCATGAGAGACCATAATTAATAGAGATGCATAAGCAATTAAACAGAAGCACAGATGAGATAGACCATCTGTCCTGCTAAATAACCCAGACAAGACCTCCGTGCCACTAGGGAGAAGAGACAACACATACCAAGCTTGTCAGTAAAGGTGACAATATCCACAATTTAGTACTACAAAATTTCCTTACCTGAAAGGAGTGTTTCTTGAGCATTGTCTTCACAAGAATCAAGGTGTCAAGTTTGGGGATAGATTGGATCACCTGCTGCACCTCTTCATCTGTCACTTCTACTAGCTCACAATTCTCCTCTTCACTTGGCAGTGGGTCCACTCCCACTTTGGTTACCCATGTGTGCCGCTGAAACATGTTACAAATTCTGGTCAAACAACGCCATGTATAGATACACTCAGTTAGTCATATTGAACTGTGTAATGACATTTTAAAAATATGTGACAGTGATCTAAAGTCTATCATCATGAAAGCGGTTTATTTTTTTTACACTGTCTGTCAATTGGATTAATTCACTGTAGCCTAATACTGGGCTCTACTCATAGGCACCTGTAATATCAATAAAGCTCCACCATCACTACAGATCATGTTCCCTTGTGCTACCTGCAACCTGCTCTCACCTTGCCATTTAAGTAGATACTCCATGCCATACAGCAGGGTATTTAACAATTCACATTTTAATTCATTATTTTGATGTATTATTTTAACAACTTATTAACACATCTGTTGTCGCCCTCCGTCACCTTCACTTCAGGCAGGGTGAGGCGCTGGCTTGGATCCTTATACAGCATACGAGATATGAGGTCCTTGAGTTCCTCAGAAACTAGAGGCTTCTCCTGGAACACCACTGGGTCATTCTGGATTTTGTTGTACAGGGCCAACACATTATCATCATGGAATGGGATCTGCCCATAGACGAAGGCATACAGCGTCACACCCATTGACCAGATATCTGATGCCTGCAAGAAATCAGCAGAAAAGTTAAGAACTGAAAACTCTGTAACTCAACTTCATATATGCACAACTACTGAAATCAATTATATAGCAAAGTAGTAGTGTGCATGAAGGCCAGTTAAAAAGTCTCAAAACCCTTTCTGGCCCAAAACTGAAATAATGACATTTATATTTAATTGAATCCATGGAAAAGAAAGGGGCACATGTCAGTACTTTTAAAAAATGGTGCTTTAATGGAATGCCAGTCTCTAAATATAAACTTGTGGACTTGCATAACAACAGCAAATATCCCAAAGATGATGCCCCTCTCCCATAACAGCTGCCCTGGCCATAACAGAAATCACACTGTTGTCAGATTCCTTGAAATGTTAGGTGCTAAGGGGAGATCCAACAAAATCTTACTTCCCTGTGACAAGAACTTCACTAAAAAGTTTTCCACGGAACAGATATGATGCATACACCACATAAATACCACAAATTGACTGAGCTGCAAAACAGAAATGGAAAGTTTTCTGCAAGAATGTGTAATGACATCATCAGCACAGAATATGATTAGTGGTGGCCAAAATTGGTAAAACTGTCTGTTCCTAGGGTCCAGAAAGTTATGTTTTTTCAGTTCATAGAATTACATGTGTGAATACAGGTCTAAAAGTTCAGAAGTCATCACCAGAGATTTCACTGAGGGCTTCATCACAAATGCATGGGAAACAGCCTGAAAAGATGACAAACAAAGTATTGAACTAAAAATCAAAGTGGTTGTCTAAAAACATAAATTAAAAGCTAGTTCATCGTAATTTTGACAAATAATATGAAATGTTCTAAATAACTGTGGCATTTCCTTCCCTCTAAATCAGTTACGTTAACAAAAAGCACGAAAAGGACGCGTGTCTGGCAAAGACAATTATGTCATTCAGGCCATTAAGAGATAAAGAAGCCATGGAAATAGAATTCAATACATTAGCCTTGCTGTCTTGCTAAGTGCAGTTCAAGAAGCAGTGTTTCTTTCCCCATACAAAAATTAGAAACAGTTCTCTCTAATTTGCTAAAAGTTTTATCTCTGTGACATGTGCCCTTTTCGTACCTACATATTCTATTCATGCCACTGGTTCTTCACCTTGCCACTGTACTTGCTGTTAGTTAGGGCCTCAGGGGCTATGAAAGCAGGTGTGCCAGCAGTACTACTTAAGGCTGCATCATTGCCATGGAACTCGTTACAGACACCAAAGTCTGCAATCTGGACATGTCCATCCTCACTCAGCAGAAGGTTTGATGGCTTGATGTCCCGGTGGATGATACGCTGGTAGTGCACTGCAGCCAGATAGACAAGTCATGAATTTTACACTAACAATAAATTATAGAAATTATAGTTATCTTTGCCCTTCAAGTGGTATCTTCCTATTATAAAAGCGCATGCATGAAGATACACCGAGGGCATGGAAGTAGAATTCCCAACATTCTAGAACTCGGTATTAGATGGAAACTATTGGTGTGCTGTTTTACCAACAGGGAAACATCTGCCAGTAGGCATGGAACAGGAGATTGTGGGGGCTACAGAGCGAAGACAGCGTCAGTGACGAGGTAAATCACTTATCTAGCCTGTAGTCAGTCACTTGCAGACTGAGATTATGCCCTCTCATAACTTCTTCAAATAAGATTTCTAATCAATATTCCTGTACACATGTCTTTTCTCCCATATTCACGTATTTGTGCATGTTCACATACCCAAATCTCCTTAACAATTAGGCCCATAAATACAGACTACAAATTATATATTTCTTTGTCATGTATTCCTGCATTGACTTTCACCTGTGGTGACTTTCTAATTTACCAAGATTACGTACTTGGTCCTGAATAAGACACAATACTGAGATGTCAGGGATGAAATCAGAGTGGTCAATTACAAAGTATTTTACACTCGGGAGAGATATCAGAGACACCAAGAATCTCAGTCGAGATGGATAAGATGCAGCTCAATTTTTGAACTAGCTCTGCAATGCCACTGTATTAACCTATTTGTTGTAAATCTCTTTACAATTTGTGGGCTTAATAAAATATTCTTAATTTATTGAAATGTATATTTTATTCTCCCTTGGATTGTACTCTAATTGCTATATCAGTTTTTAGTTCTGCTGTTTGAGCTGCTATAGGTTTTTAATCAAATGGATACTTTGAAGTGAAATCACTGGTTTTGAGCACTGCCTGTTTGATATCACAAAGACCAGTAAAATAAACCAAATTTCAAATACGAGACAAACACTCACGGTACTCAATTCCCATGACAACATCACGGAAGTACTTCCAAGCTTGTTCCTCACTGAGGGGTGTATCTGTTGGCACCTCCAGCACCTCCCCACGTTCAAGAAGGTCAAACACTGGAAAAACCAGCAAAGTATATAAATTCTCTATCGTTTATACCATTGATTTATATTTAATAATCCTTTTATTATAAGTACAAGGCTAAATTAATAATCAATACAATTTGCACACAACAAATTCCGTGCACATAGTTCTCAAAATGCATTCTTTGTTATTTTATATTCATACCAGGTTCAATGTTCATATAAATCTACAGCTGGAAGGCTAATCACGCTGTAAATAAGTGAAATAGTTAGAAATTATTTGTCTTCATCTTCATTCAAATATCCACCATACTGAACAATACAGCTTAATAAGATCTCCACTTGATAGAAGATACAATTTTTTTAAATGAGATTTTTTTTAGAAAATGTATAAAATCCAATTCAAGTTTCATGTAAGGTAGGGGTTATATTCAGTACGTACAGCCTGACATTCAGTCTCCTGTACATGTTTCAGTGTAGATCCTAAATAACAAATTTTGGGAATGAAACTCGTACCTCTCATACATACTTCCGTTTCATGCGCTGTTCACACAGATCATATATTAAATAATTGAATTACAGCACAGTTACTTTCTCGTCATTTGCAATTGACGATGGCGACACTCCTTACCCAGATAGAGGTGGTCTTCCACAGGGTCATCCAGTACTTCAAACAGTTTCACAATATTGGGGTGGTGCAACTTCTTGAGGATTGCGATCTCGCGGTATACCCGATCGAGCGGATTCACTGGTGATTTGTTCCTGTTAGGTGCAGCTCGGCCTGCAATGGAACAAGAATCACTTCGTGAATATGGCATACTGCATCTCTTGGTGGCTTCAAGTTAATTTGAATGTTCCCTGACAGACACACCAACTAACTAGCTATCTAACTATGCAACTAACAAAGTAACTGACTGATCAACAAACTACAAGTACCTACATGATCAATAAAATAATTAACCTCATTTAAACAGGATATAGAAATCTGTGAAGAATTGGTGGGCTGTAGCTTGGATGGAGGAAAAGAAATGCACACAGAAATTTGGTATTGGTAAACAACCACAAAGAAGAGTGAGAAGATGGAGGATGTCTTCTAGATTAACCTTTGAGTGATTAAATTGTGAGACTGGGAGATGCATGGAAATTCCTCAGGATCTTGTTTAGAGACAAGCTTTTGAACTTCAGGTTTTACGGATAGATGATTCATTGAAGATGGCTCTCTTCTGGGTTGTTGTGCCGTGTAGTCTGGTAAACATGGTGCAACAGCTCAGAATACAATCTTTCCTAAAGAGTTTAAACTTACTCAAGTGGTTGAGAAATTTCTTGCCTTTATGGAAAATGGAGGTTTGTCACCGTACTTATAAAAGCCTACAATTAGACTCCATCATCAGTTAGTTAAATCTTGTAGGCAGAATAAATAGATCCAAAGATTTGAACAAAACTTAATTACTGTGATTTATTTTACATGAAAACAGATCATGGCCACATTTGCAAATCGCCAAGTTTCACATCCAGCAATGAACCACTGCTGAAGTGGCAACTTCTCCAACACCACAGTGATGCATATAGTCTGAAATCTGAGCTGCAGGCGTGTATTACTCACCAAAAATACCAGCTTTCTTCAGCAGCTTCTTCTTAGACAGGATCTTCATAGCCTGCAACAGGGAACAGAACTTGTCTGCATCTCCATAGTGCGAACGCAACAATTTTCTCCACGCCAGCACAAACGTAGTCTAATTAAAACTATTACAGATTCCTGTCTGACATAAGCACACACAAACACACATACGATGGTCCAGAAGGAAACCAGTGACATGTTACAAAAAATATTATTTTTTACCTACGAAGTGTTTTTATATTACTAAATATATTTCATGCCAATAAAAATTATTATAAAAAAAATTATTCATAAAACAAGTTTTGTACTTACCGCTGACGTTAATTTAATACAGTCAGATTACTAAAATCCCTTGTTTCCTTCCAGTAATAAGTAGAAGCACTTACACTCACTGGCTTCTGAACCGTCCATTTTAAACGTTTTCAATATGATAAAGAAAATTTATGACATGTATCGTGAGAAATACTTCGTGACAATAGATTTTTATCTGCAGCAAATGTATAACGCTGGTGATATAAGCAGGATTATTATTATTATCATCATCATCATCATCATCAGCATCATCATCAACATTATTATTACCGTCACTGTCACTGCTTGCATTATAAACAGAGAAGTTAAACAATTTGCGTAAACACTTAACTCTTTTCGAAACACAATCCCCCTACACTTAATCGTCCTGTCAATACGCGAAGCTGACTGGATATTCTTTAGAACTATGATTTCCGGGGAAGAAATGCAAAGTGTTGACTCCGAAGTGGCACTCACTCTAGTACACAGTACGTTGTAGTGTAAATAAAGTTTAAATATGTTAGATACTGTGCTCAAATATTTATTGCATAATCGTAACTGCCAATGATATGTCAGATTAAAACTTTTCCATAATTCGGCTCACGTTCAACAGCGCTCTTTCAGATGTCTGCTGTGTCACAGAGCCTGACAGCGTAACACAGATGGAGTTCACTGCGTAAGCAACTACTTGCCCGCTGGCTGAATTATTAATGCGGAAAAAGTACGGGAATCTCTTTATTTCCCAGTAAATATCTCCTCATATGATACAACAGGTAATCGATAATAATTCACAGCCGGACTTTGCCGCGCCTCACAAAATTCTGGCTGGCACTTCTAATGTTCACAGATCGAATTTCGAAGTAAATTAACTTTTATAACAGCACGTCGGCCGTAAGTAGTGTGACTAAAAGACAGCAATTTATTTAAGATTTCGAACCAGTAAAGAAACACGAAGAGAGAGAATGGAATTTCGTAAGTAAAGAAAAGTAAAGAAACGGATACAAGAAACTAGAAAACAAAGAAGAAGGACTCAAAGAAGAACAAAAATTAAGTAAGACACAAGAGAGGAAAGTAAGAAGTTAATATCTGATGCTATCGCTTATGAATACAGTGACTGGAATAACGCAAAGCATGAATCGACTCAATCAAAATCAATATCATGTAACTATTTCCGAAAACCTTCACTTTATGTTACGAAAACCTTCACTTTATGTTACAACATTCATATAAAAGCAACGTAATATTTATTCATAGAGACCCTGTGAGGTGTGTAACGGAGTTTTCATGCCCATCGGAAATATTTCTCAACCTAACCTACAAGAGTACAGGGTGCAACAACACAGAAGCCACATTCCACGACCGAAATAATGTTTGGGCGTGCACAGTTGCATGCACTGCAACGAGACAAACGCCTATGTAACCCATGAATACTACCGATAAACGTAGTTTGTGCTCGGGTTGAGACAAGTAACCCGTCGGGGGAGAATACTGCTCTGAAGTGAAACAACACGAAAACTCGATAAAAATCATTTTACCTTCGTCAAGGAACACACGTATACTATGAAATAAAAATACAAGCAATGGCCGTTAGAATTTAGTGCTAGAACATGCGATGTAACAGAAATTCTACGGACCAAGTTATAAGGATTCTTAACATCTTTTTGTTGGTGTTGTCATTCACAGTCCATAAAATTTATGAACAACTTGTCATTCAACGCTGCAAGGGTCTCACGCGTGCAGTTGACAAGACGTCATTATGTGCAGAGTGGCATCCAATGCCTTCAGACTTTTCACCTTGCGCAGTCCCGTACAATCTATTAAAATCTGTTGCGCCACTCTTCTTCCAAGCACTTGGCGAGGTTAGCATAGCGCCACCGCTATGTATTTTGCGCAATAAAAGACCAACAGCCAGTTCCTGGTTTGACTCTATGAAGACTTCGTAGGAAAATCAGTGCAATGGAGTACAGTCACGTTCAGAAATGAAAACACGAAAAAGCGCAGGAAAGGAAAGAGCGCAGGAAAGAATACGTCCTATTGTAAGAAATTTTTTTTTGAAATTTTCAAGCACGACCATATGACGGTTGTTGTGCGAGACTTAAAAACGCAAAAGTTCGAAGTTACTGCACTTTCGTCCTGTAGCCTATATTGGCGAGAAGGGGCTGTCTGTTCGGGGGAATAGATTTCCAACTAGATGGCTGGTGACAGGAATCTTGCCCACACGCAGCACACGTGGGCAGACTGCAGGCTGCCTGGCGGTGGCTGGAGACGTGCCTCACTTACGAGACAGCGGGACAGTGTGGCAGTCCGCTGAACTGGAAGGGACAAGGATGACGAGACTCCATGGTTTTGCTGATAACACGAATTATTATCCACACACTGGAAGTTGACAGTTATCAATAAAGCCACTGCATTTATACTACAGCAAGTTAATAATCGTGTTTACTAAAGTGCATCATTTCCATTGCGACCAAGATCAATTTGCGTCTGTGTTCCCACGCTGTCTTACGATGCCGTACAAACTTGTACGTAAGTAGCAACGTTTCGGAGGAACATACTGCTGCCTCCATCTCGAACCCTGAAGATAGAGGCAGAATGTTCCTCCTCCGAAATGTTGGCACCCACGCACAATTACACACAGTGTCATAGCCCAGGAGACCAACACAGACGTCTTTATCGTGGCGAGAACCTAACCTCAACTCTCACAGTTCAGTCTAGCTGGCACCTCACACGCTGTTTGTCTGAAGAAACTGCGCATTATCCTCCAGTATCTTCCTGTCTACCAACTGGTATTTCTCCTGGGTTTTTCCACCCACAATTTTGCATATACTTCTTGTTTCATACAATTGCACCTTCATGTTCTGCCCATTGCATCTTTATAGCTGTATTCTGAAACAGTCCGTTCAGTATCAAGTTCGAATGGTTCTAGTCAAGAGACCCGAGGACACGTGAAACTTGAAATCAAAACAGCTCCACTCGGTATTCGACCCAAAACCTTTCCACATAAAATTAAACTCCATTACCACGGATCTGTTCTGCTCAGGACACCATTTAAGCAGTGCATGTCTTGACCACACCTAGAATCCCATTGGTTTTGACTGTTATACAGCCTAATAACTTGCCATGGAAACATGTTGATACACTTTTTTTTTTAAAATATTCTCGAAAGTGAGGTCTGTTAACTGAAGTGGTTTTGAAAATAAACGATTCGATTATCCCCAGTCAAAATAAATGTGCGAGTGGCAAAATGAGAATTTTTTCTTAATAATGCTCAACAACTCACAACGTAACTGCAAAAAGAAATGGCCGAGAGAAAAGACCAAATACATAAATAAGTAAGAATGACAGAGAAAAGAACAGTAAATAATTTAAAGAGGAGAGAATAAATACATAAATAACAAAATAGAGAATTAAAGAAAAGAGGGGAAAAGACTGAAAGAAATACACGAAATGATATTAAAGAAACGAAGACGAAAAACAGAGCAGCAGTGGTGAACACGGAGGGAAAGGAGAATTCAGAAATAAAAAATACGAAGGAAGAAACAAGGAAGGAAAATATGAGACAAAGAGAACGTTTAGTTACAGATGCTCAAAGAGGAAGCAGGGCTTAGAATAGAAAGGCTATTACTCGATGGTCTCAATTCCACTTCGCCGCCAGCCGTCAGAACACAGCGGGGTGGACAATGCCAAAGCATCTCTTTATCAAACGTAGTATGGCAGTGAGGAAGGTAAATTCTATTGTGGAGACGACAGCAGTTTGCTTACACTGAAACTAACATTCACAGACCGTGACGCAAGCCCGCTGTTTCGCGCATAGTGTAATGGACATTCTAATTAGCGTAGTGCCACTGTTACACGATCAACTTCAGGATAGCCCAACCTTACAATGGATTCCACTATGCGGTCCTCACTTGGGAACTTGGGAGTAACTCAGGTGCCTAAAGAATTAAATACTTTTATGGAACTCATAGGTTCATTATAATTTTCACTAAGCCCTCAACTGAACTTTACTCTGGGTCAGTATCGCTAATGTTTCGACTTCTTTGAAGAATTTTTCTTAGATTTTCGAACAATTTTTGGATAGTTGTTAGGACTCCTTGGAGGGGAGGGGGACCGCCTGTCGCAAAGCCTCAGGATAGAAGAATACAACAAGACGAAGAATCCACGATCCCAGTGTTGAGCGGTCAAATCCCACGCATTATACCAAGTGGCATCTTCAGACCAATATAAAACAGGCAAATTACGACCATCAAATTGCTTTAAACCGTCCGTATAAAGCAACAGAGGGCTAACTACGGTTCGACAAAAGCTTCATAACTAAATAACACATGAAATAAATCTTTAAGAAATTCTAATAAACGCCGAAGAAACTCCTTTAAAGTGACGAAGGCGAAAAACATTTTACGTTCAGTGTAGTTAACATTTCCACCTATGTATTAAAGATAATTATTAATTTCCTTCGGCGGTGAGACCCATCAAAGTCGTCTGCCAAAATTTAGTACTTCTCAGTTTTGTTGGCGGGCAGAGAAACACTCGTGACAATGAACGGGCACGAGAACGCCGTACTCATGCGGCAACTTCTCCTACTTCCGTGTAAGTCGGCCAGTCTAAACATTCTGTTGCAGGCGTTTAAACTCTAGTGCTGTAGAACTGTTTCAAAGGGCAAAGAATAAATCTGACGACATGAATCACTTCGTCATACGTTCGTATCTTATTTAACGATGCAGTTAGGAGATCAGAACATAATAATCAGAGTTGTAGCCCACAAATTGATTTTCATTTTTATCTTGGTCAATCCAGTACGAAATTTAAAAATTATTTATTACTTGACGTAGTCTTGTGCATATCGTTTCGCGACGAAAGACGGGAATTTCGGTATTCAATGTACCCTCCTTCCATACGAGTTTCAAATTAGAACTGTGTGTACATATTTTTTTCTTCACACCTCAGCCGGATCAACATTCTTTAGTTCATAATTCTTACACAAGCGCAAAGTAACTATAGAAGTAAATATCTGACCCTACGCCTAAGCATCAAGTCACGAGGGCATGTATCCTAGGGTCGGTCTTGACGAGGTTACGAGAAAAGTTCCTGCTCCTTTCGGGACCCGAACTCGGGGATTTCAGTAAGAGAACAACACACACTCGCCAGCTCGGCTTTATCAGCAGTACAGCTCCTTTCGGGCTAACCTGTGGCCCCATATCCAGCCACCATCAATGACCGACTGGAATGCAGTTAATTGAGAAGTACAGCCTTTATTTCAATCCACCAGACCTAACTCGGAAGAGGGACGGACGGACGGACAGAAGCAATTCCATTTCAGCCGACCGCCTTATTCTTCGGCAATATTCCACTTTCGTATTCAGAAAAGACACTCTCCTCCGTTCTCATTTTTAAAGAGACCGGATTACGTGCCCTGTTTTGGGGTCGAACTTCTTTGAAATGCCGTACGAGTCCAGAATTCGTACGTTGTTACTTTGTTTCGTTTTCAGAATAGATCGATGTAGTTTCCGGGAGCAACAGAAAGAGCGATACGAGATTTTACCTGTTATAAAAATTTGTAGAAACTTTTAATGATACCAAACGCTAACAAAATTTCATGACCTACATGACAAGAGATTGGCTGCATGTAAGCTTATCAATTATGAAAGTTATTAATTACTTAGCTAGAATACATAGCCCGTACATAAAAGAACGAAAATATTATTAGGTCGAAATTGATAACCTCTTTCCTTCAGAGTTTAGCAAACGTTGAATTCTGCTTAGCATTGTTTTTATGGTCTTAATCAAGAAAATGTTGCCAATGTCGGCCATCTGGGTTGAAACCCCGTGTGGACTTGTAGGTAGATAACCAGCATTTTGGAGTACATACTGTTCATGTGACCTTGAAACCCTGGAATACATAGCAGAATGCAACACTGTGCTATCTGGCTCATCACAGCTGATCCAAAGAAGCTCAAGTGCATTTCAGTCTCGGAACAGGTCATAATTACCAAAACATCGTGTGGACGAAGACAAAATTCAGGGCTGCAGATGAAGGCAGTATGTTCATCCGAAGCGTTTGTATCTATTCAAAATTTCACAGGGCGTTTGCTACGCAGAACAACAACATGGACACCTTCATCACCGTGAGAACCTCAAACCTCAAGTGCAGAGTTTAATTTTAGAAAAGTAATTACGACTCCTGAGAGAAGGTACTTACGTAGTGCGTGTCATCCTCTTCATTGTACGCGAGTTTCACGATGCCGTACGATCCCTGCAACAGATAATAGACAATTACGTTGTTGTGTGCAGGAACCCAGTTATCAGGACTGTCCTGCCTGAATACAAGACAAATTTACATGAGCGTCCTGAGGGATTCTGTGGCGATACAAAGCGGGCAGAGGAGGTACAGGGGAATGAGAACATACATATAAACAGAAAAATAAATACGAAAAATATAAATAGATGAAATTATGTAAGGAAGAAGAACACAAACACTGACTTTACAAATGAGCTTAGAATTAGGAAGGAAGGAGAGAGACTGAGGTACAGTAACAACAAACAAGGAAGGGAGGTCCTACGTCTTATACAAGGTTGATGCAACAACCAAACAGAATTCTGAAGCAGGAAGAAGGGGGACTAAGAACTAAAGTAGAAACAGGAACACCAAAGAGAGAAAAACATGAAGCGAGGCAAAGAAACAATAAGGGTTCCTATGTTTTATGTTGTATGTCGGATCCAGTCATTAAATACACGAAGAATAAACAAAACGAAAGTGACGGGGGAGACAGGAAAGGAAAGACACAAAAAGACTAACGACAAAGAAGCAAAACTAAAATAAGTTATACATGAAATTGGCATACCGAAGAAACAGAAAAAAAAGCAATAGAAAACGGAATAAAGAAACAGAAGACACGGTGAAAGAATGTGAGGGGGAACGGAAACTTAGGACGACAAAGAAGAATGAGCAGACCAAAACTAATAAAATGTTTTGACATTTATCACACGATGCAGGTCAATACAAAGGGAAGTTTGAAGACGATAATAAAAAGGGGGCAAGCAAGTAACAAGGAAAATTCAGAAAGGCACGACCGAACGGGCACAATGAGACAAAACGAAGAGACATTCTGGTTAAGAACGCACTCTGAAATGAAGTAAAACAAATCGAATATAAACACTACCGACACGATGAAACCAAATGTAAACCCAGAACACGGCCATCTCCAGGCTTTCGGCTGCATAAGAAAGTTTCAGGGAAACACGCTGATGTCAACCGCGGCGAACAGCCGCAAGTCTTCAGGGCGCGCAACAGCCCAGAAAACCAGAACGCAAACTCACGCTGCCGCCGTGAAACCTCAAAAACTACATTAAAACCCGAGCATTCAACCGGAAGGAAAAAAAAATACGAGTAACTTTTTAAGCACTCTAATCTTCAAACCGCTGCCGTTAGATTTCTGTGCAATTTCATGGCTCCGATAAGAGCTGAGCTTCTTTAAACTTTCAGGAGACATCAGACTCTACCATCCGTCCGACCGAACTGAAGTACGAACGCCAGGGCATCTCGTGTTAATCTCGTCTGGCGGTAATCCCGCTGCCTGGAGTCGTAATCCTCACGGTCTGTTGCAAGCAATGGGTTTGATTTCTGCAGCCGTGTCCACTTACTGCATAATTAATCTCTTAATGTACTCCTCTCTTCATTCGAAGGAACGAACTTCACATTTGATCGTAAGGTAAAATAAATGTACCCGTCTGGGAGGAGCGTGTTTGTGCTTCAAATATTCAGCCACAAGGTACAATTATTTTTTCGCAAACTGATTAATTATTTAGCCCTAAAGATGGAGGGAGACAAAATTCTGTACAGCGGAATACAGAGGAACAATTTCTTTCACACTGCTGCAGAACTCTCACATTAATCAGAAAAGTAACCTGTCTGTTAAAATGTCCAGTGATTTAAGAACAATAAAATACAATGAAAAACTAAATATGGGTTGAGCGAACAAAAAAGAAAGGGTCTTCGTAAGAGAAATGGACTTGAAAAACGAGACAAGGTATTAGGTTATATATTTTATGTCACAGTTTCGTTTCGAAAAGGACAAGAAACATTTTCGTTATATAGTTTCATAAGTTAAAACGTTACTGGCGAGAGCACAGCTTGGCGACTGGTTACAGATAAGCGTGTAATTACGGAAGTGCGCGCTGTTCCTAAAACACACTCGTGTCGGGAAAGGCAACCGAAGGCGATAATGTTGCAGCCATTTCTGCTCCGAATTTAATATGAGACGATGACGTGGCCTCAGAAACACGAACCCTGACAAGCATGAAATTAGCCGAATATTATTGCCACCAATCGCATTCATACAGAATTTAGTTGGCTCAGACTGTAGCCTAATGATGAGATTTTGTGTTGACTGGCACGAAATTGCATTCCACAACGTTCAATACCTTAATACGTACTGATTGCCCAGGAAATATTTTGTAGGTCGACAAACTGACAAGGACTACAAGGTTTCGGGGAAATTTAAACTAAATGCGTACCTCAGAGCAAAAAGAAAACAAATACTGTTAATTAAAATTACCTGTGGCCGCTGTTGAGTTTCAGATTAGAAACATAAATAAAAGTTAACATTTATCCATACTGAACATACTACTTCCTGTTACAATTTTCTGCTACGCGTTTTGAGTCTTTACTTTATGAAACCAGGGAACGTCACACCGAAGTGCACTGCCCCAAAACAAAGTACTCCCTAAACAAAAAAACTTGTAGATCACCATGCGTCGTCTGGCGGTTCAAATAACCCCCCAGAAGACAGCAAATACATTAATGTTATTAAATCCCACCATTCTAAGATTCAAACACACACTACAGTGTACGCTTCGGGACTCAAAATATTCTTTCCACGTGTTAACATAATAAATAAGTGTGAAATTTTCGTTGGGAAGTCCCGTAGAAAGTGACCACATTGAATACCGAGACCATTGGAAGTTAATATTAACAAGAATATTAGAACAAATAGGCAGTGAAAATATTACGTGGACGGAAATGACTCGGGGCCATGTTCGATTAAGTGTAGAGGTATTACCGTTGTCGAAACTTCGTGTACTGCGACCAGACAATTTTCGAGATAAGTCGTCAGGTCGGGCTTTACATGTATCTGCTTGATTTGTGTTTTGCTGCTTCTAACAGCAAACAGAAGCCATGTTGGCGTGTGATGTCACGTGGGTTTCAGCTCTGCTGATCAAAGAGAATTTAGAGCGAGTGGATTAATTTACACCCTGCGGGCCGCGAACCGTGAAATTTGTTACCTGCTCCACGGAAAACAGTTGCCGATCCAGTTTTGTTTTGGAGTGAAAACTTGCATTATTTAAAGTTAAGGAGGAGCTTCACGAAACGTCTTGATGTACAGAGCGACAAAACAGCGATGGATTTTTCTGCTTTACTATGTGCAGATTTAATAATATCTACGTGTTTAATAATTACTAACACTTGATTAAGATTCAGTAATTGATATCTAACTGTGGCATTAAGTTCGAACAGAGAACTGTGTCATAACCACCCACATTTAATATTCATATGGACTACAGACATTAAACACCCAAACTGCCAGGTATTTGTGACAGGCGAAACAATCTTGAAGTTCTGTCTTGTCCCCCCCCCCCCAATTTGGTTGGTAAAACCACTGGCAAGGCACAACTTTAAGGCGGAACAAGAAAAAATGTAGATACAAAAATATATAGCAGTTAAAAGAAAACGGAGAAGAACATTTCAAAGTATTTTCTCATGAAAACGCAACAGGAATTTGGTCTATGCTATGCACCTCAAGAAGACTCCCTTCTCATTTATTTAGAAACAGAATTCTTAACATAAATCAGACTATTTTTGCTTGTTATGTGGTGCATCAATCCGAATGCTTTTTTTTTTTAAAGACACGAGATAAGACGAATAACTGAAACGGCCGGTTTCTCATCGCGAAAGTCTGGGTTCGATTTCAGGGCATTCAATGTGAGATTTGTGATAGACAAAGTGGCAATGAGACAGGTTACTATGAATGTACTGGAAATTTATGGAAATCGGGAATTGAGATAAATATAAATCACATATATGCATATTACACATATTTTAAGTTTACTTGGGCACTATTTTGAAAACACACAAGCAAATAACTTTGGAGCTTTCGCAAATAATATGCGGTTCACAACGAAATGTAATACAAGTGGCCATCGTCTCACCTGGCCTATGGAGTCCATCAGCCTATACTGGTTCAGCTGTATGTACTCTCCGGACTTGTCTATGCTGACTCGTCGGCTCTCTTTCAAGGGAGACCTCTTCCTCAGTGATCTGGGCGACGAACTTGGGGATCCGTACGGCGAGAAGGGATAATTGGGATAGATCGGTCTGCAAGGGTCAACTCCTAAACTCCTAGACTGCATCAAGAGCTTTTGCTGTACATGGTTTACAGCAGAAGTCCTATCAGGTGGGCCTTCTGAAGACCTGGACGCCTCTCCTTGGATGATCACAGGCGGTATTACTGATTCTGACAAGGTCCGCGAAAGTTCTGCGCCAACTGTTTTCCCAGAAACTACGGAGGAAGCACTGTCTGATAAAGTTTTGTTCGCAACTGTGGCTACACTTGTTTGCGACCTGGCACTGGAGATCTGTGCCACTTCGCCTTGCGGTGACAGTGAGTCAGCTTGCGCTTGTGCGACACGTTCTGAACTAATCCGCACTTCTCTATCAAGAGGTACAAATTCTTCCTGCATTTCCTTATTTACCGCAGACGTCAAAACCTCTGTCGTTTCTCTACTAGAAGACGTTAAATTACCTTGCCTCTCTGCACTGGAAGATGCTGAATCACTTGGAAATTCATCTAAAGATACTGAACTACTACTTTGCACTTCTTTGCTGCATAATGATGAATTACCTTGCGGGTGTGTCATGGATAGCGTTGTACCAGCTGGTGTCTCCTTTCTTGAAACCTTTGGACCACATCGTATCGCTGTATTAGAAGTTCTTGAGTCACTCTTCAACTGTTTACTGGACGTTTCTGAGCCACGTCTTACTAACCTTCTTGAAGACGTCGCCCCGTTTTGTACCTGTGCACGAGAAGGGGCTGATATGCTTTGCACTAATGTTTGGGAAGGCGCTGTTACGTTCTGTGTCTGTTTTGTGGAAGGCGTCTGAGTCCGTTTAACAGAAGGAGTTGGCCCACTAAGTACATGTTTACTGGAAGAAGTTGACCCACTTTGCGATGATTTCCTGCTGGATGGAGCTGACCAACTTTGCACTTGTTTACTGGAAGATGTCGATCCATTCTGCGATGATTTATTGGAAGCAGCTGGCCCACCTTGCAATTGTTTATTGGGAGGTGTTGACCCAATTTGTGCGTGCTTACTTGAAGGAGATGACACACTCCGCTCCTGCCTTCTGGCAAGTGTTGATACATTCTTTTTGTTAGAGAGAGTCTGAGTCTGTTTTTTGGAAGAAGCTGAATAATTCTGCGACTGAGTGACAGGTGTAGGACTGGAAGGCGCTGGGAAAGACATGGCATATGCAGGATTCGAGGCACTGGCTTTATGTTTAGGAGGCTGTGCAGTGACCGAAGAGACACTGCTGGTGACAACTGCAGATAGCTTTGACGAGCTGATGGAAGAAGGCACTGGCCCGGTGGCATGGTGAAGTTTGGGATGCTCTAATCGGGAAGACGCGACAGAACTGTTACCACCAACCACGTCTTGCCTCAACGGTGAGACAGTAGAGGACGGGGTGTTCTTCAGCAATATCTCGTGTGTTACCATTCTGCCTGAGGACGACGGTGACGACGACAGAAAAGTGGTTTTACTGGTCGGAGGGGGTCGTGACGTATTGGTCATGGCGGTGTGCAGATGGGGGACATGGTTGCTGCTGGACGGTTTGCTGAGGGCCGTGGTGATTGTGTCGTAGTCCTGCTCGCCGGTGTTCTCTTGCTCTTTGCTTCTGTTTCTGCTGCTGGTCCCAGAGATTGTAGAAGCATGATGACTTGATCCCCTGGGACCGGAAATCAGGTCTTCCTCCACAGCGGCATGTCTGCAACAAGATAAACGCTCTTGTGATCAACTGTAGGATCAACAAATTATGAACGACGCACTAATACAAAATTGCCACCTCTGTTAAAATATTAACTGATTACTGATTCACAAAAAATTACTGGTTTGTGTAAAAAAATAATTTCAGAATGCTTTCAATGCAAGTACCCGGAAACAACAGTATTTAATACATCGCATAAAACGAAAAACAAATTTGGATCATGCAAACCATTACTGAAACAAGAGCTTCATCTTGTCTCCTTTCCATACTTCCAAAGATTAATGTGTAAAATTCATTTGGGCGGTTGTGAATGTGGTCTCTTACGCTGAAGGAAGGACACAGCCCCCATAATCACATAAGCAGAGCGCTAGAAAAGCATCTGAATTCAAGAAGAATATAAGTAGAACATTACATAATAAGCAACTTCGTGATTTACAGAGATCATACGCATTACGTACTATTGTCAGGGTAGTGAAACACAGAATGTCGCGACGGTTCGAACATGCAGTTCGGACGAGAGCACAGTAACTGCATGAAAATATCTGTCAAGGAAAGCCACTTTAAAACTTGTCACTGAGAAGGCGAAGAATGAGATTCAAGGATAAACTGAAAACGGATCTTAACTAAAAACACTGCTGTAGAATTTTATAGATGAAGACCACGGACATAGGGCAGAGGTGGCCAACTTTGTAATGTTACCGGTACTGCAATGGGATGTTCTATAACTTCCTTCACACAGGTGGAAAACTTTAGAACATTAGTGCAATGGGATGTTCTAAAACTTTAGCGTTATCTCACTCTTGAGCCGAAGTCTGTTAAGTATTGAAGGGAAATGAAAGAGCTGCATATGGTAAAATAACTGAAACAATTCGAAGCTAGGACACAGAATTCTTGCTTTTATTTTACACAAAACAAACAAAATCGACGCTTGGAACTGCGAAGCCATTTCGTTCGTTAGCATACAGACCGAATTAGGACGGCAATCAATTAACTGTCTGAATATCTAATTACAGCTCTCTCTCGTCGATAAAGAGTTGTATCCTACAGCGAAAGAGCTTCTGAAAATGAAAGACTGGCGCTCTAAATTAATTATTATTCCCCTCAAGAGCTTTGGGCTTGAATATCATATTATATTCTTGAGAACAACAGTAACAAATCAAAACGATATTCATGATAAAATCGAGATGAGATTACATCTAGCAAATTCTCTATGTCATCCACTTCCGAATAATGCGCACTGCCTTCAGACTGAAATATACAAAAATATGTTTTTTTTGTTCCTATATGACTAAAAAAAATTTGTTCTGTCATTCTAAAGGACCAACACCGATTGAAATGTTTGGAGGCAAAGTGCAAAGAAGAGAATGCAAGTTTAAGGAAAAGGCAGTATGGACAAATTTACACAATATAACAATATTAGGCATAACCTTAACCAAAAAATTGTCAGAACGACTGCATAAAGAACGACAGGTTTACAGCGAATGGGACGAAATGAGAAGTGCATTCAGATCTTGAACAGAAAACATTAAGATAAAAGACAATTTGTGAGATTTAGTTATAAATGTGAGGGTAACATTAAGCAGGTTCTTACAGAAGTGTGATACATAGTGTGCACTGAATTAAAATGACTGAGGACAGGGTAAATGTTGGGTTTTTGTAAACACGGCTATAAATCTTCTGATCCCATAAAAAGAGGCAATTTTTTTTTCAACAGCTGAGTAGCCGTTAACTATTCAACAAAATTTGTACCACGAAGTTATAACCGGGTTCTCCGTCCTTCAGACAATCTATAACACGCACTGTTCTAAACTGTAAGGCAATGCCACAACTTGCCGGAGTATGCGAGGTTACCCCGCTGGACCGCGGATAACAGACCACTTCGGGCAAAACTCCTGCCTGACGCTGTACTAGTTTGCTCATAATCTACTACCGTTAGTGCAGAGAATAAAGACGTGGTTTCGGGTCCAGACGATGCGAGAGAAATCCGCAGCATCCAGCTTGGCAATAAAATGGCGTATCACATAACACGAAATACGTAAACGAAGAAACTGACGTCATAGGGTCTCGCCCGAACTGCTGTTCTCATCGGTTATTGTCGTGAAAATTGAAGTTTCGTCTCCAAAGCTCGAAATGTTTCCCCAGCATAAGCCAACGCAATCCAACTGTTAACCTCAATAAAATTAAATTGCAGTGCTATTTCATTTCCGCGTTCGATTTCAGTTCGATTTCCCACTACAAATAATATAGTATATCCATTTCTTGTCACCCCCCCGGGGAGGGGGGGGTTTCCGAACAGGATTCCTCCAACACTCGGCCACTCTAACAAAACCGTAATGGGAGCACACACACATTATGGATGTTTGTTTTCCCATTCCACATTACTTGACTTTATCATTTCAACATATTTTACGAAATAAAGTAATTAAATATACTCATCACCATCTTTTTCACACACTTGGGGTCATGTAGCTGACAAGTGACATCCACTCCCCTAAATTTCGGGTACGAACAGCAAAGGAACGGTAACTTTGATGGGTCTCTACCTCGAGTGGAGCGATACTTGATTTACTGCAATAATTCCCTCAAAATTAATCCAATTTTGACTTCAATAAGACGGACCAAAAACCCGAAATGTCGCCTCCATTACTCGAATTACACCTTACGTTCTCTGTGAGGCAGCAATCATACTTTGAATTGTTAAAACTGATCTCTGGGATCTAGCGGGCTCTTGTTGGAATATGAACCACGGAGCGAACTGATCTCTGGGATCTATTGAGCTCTTGTTGGAATATGAACCACGGAGCACACTTTCATGAACACAGATGCTTCAGATTTCAGGAAACTCCGCATCCTTTGTAAAGAGGAGACAGGAGCACAGACACGTACAACAAAAACAAACAAGATATGTAGCACATAATAAATGAAAGTCCTTAATTAATTTTCCTTATAATTTATTGTTTGAAGAGAAGGCTGTAAGAGGTAATATACGTAGTGTCTCAACAGTTATTACGCACAAGAAATCACAAAGAGAGTAAGCAAACAGTGTAATGTAAATATCACTAAAAGTAAATGAGAAACAAAGACACATTTTAATTCAACGTATTGTGTAAATAATGAATTCAGTAACAGACGGCCTGAATTTCGATTCCCTGATAAATAATAATTTATTGAAAGCATGTAATTTAATTTCATTCATTTGTAATGTGTTTAAACTATATTTCAATTAAAAGCAGGATACAGTATTATAAGTAATTTATTAAAAATCTCCACCAGTAGTAGAACACATCTCCAGTCACACTATCAATGCGATAAAAGAAGCAGACTATGATGGACGGCTCGCATACTGGGGTACGAGATTCGAATCTCATTCAGCGAATGGGCGTGTCCACGTTTGCTGTTTTGTTCTGTGTAGAAAGAGGAAGTGAGACGGGCTAATCTACCTTACAATGAAACATAAAGGTAAGACCTGAGGTTGTCACGACGGCAAAAATGTCAACGTTGTTCTGGGTTGTGACTTGTAGGTATATACCAACGCTTTGGAGAAAAATACTTTCTCCAGCTTCAAGACTGAAGAAATAATTGTAACTCGGAAGGGACCGAGCGTCATATTCCGTTCTTGCACTCAAATGACCTAGGCGCAATTCATAACGAGAGGAAGCAAACGAGGACAGGAAAATGAATGATGTCGAGGTACAAAAGAAGAACAACGAAAGGAATCTAAAGAAACAGCAGCAAGTTGTAATCGAGTCGTGGGATTAGAATGGAAGTAACGTCATCAAATTGTCGCTGCCAGACGAAAAAATATCAAGACCGTGACTTGCGCTCACAGTGACATTGGCGGACGCAATACGAGTTTCTGTGCTGGTGAAGTTGACGTCAATTGTGCCTGACGGGAATCAGGACGAAGACACATTGATTCCTTACTTACCCTTCAAAAATAACCGTCCATAACAGTAGATTTATCTCATGTGACGTTAAATAACCTAAGAAAGTAACAATGTGCCATTAAGTAACATTACAGTATGAATTAAAGAATGATACATATCAGTCTGACGTAAATTTTACTAATGATCGATTCTCAGGTAATTTAACAGAGTAGTTAAGCAGTAATGATGTGCGATGGTCACATGGCGAGTGGGTACATGGGATTTATAATAAGGTAGCCTATTTCGAGGAATTCGCCTTTCTATACTGAAAGAAATGACGAATAACTGCTTGAAGATCCGATAATCTGACTGCAATAAGAAACGTGTGCGCCAGAACAGCATTCTAGTTTTAACACTACACCATCCAGTTTAATATCTCGTTATTAATCAGATGGAAAAGAAATTTAAGTCTTTAGATAATACTTTGAATGTATACGTTCGCAAAATTGCATTAAATATTCAATTCGTGTTCTTGTTCATGGGTGGGTCATCACCACGACAAACATTCACCGGTTGTTTGTAATTTTCATCGACTCAGTGGCAAAATCGAACTGCCACTAATGTTGAAATTTTGTAAGAGACAGGCTGTCAGATCTCACCGCAGGGGGAGACAGAGTTTGCACCGTAACGAGAAGCAAACACACTGGCTTATCCTACATCCCTCGCGGAGTGTAATTACAATACAGTTACAACAACTTAAACAACCCACAACTCTTGTTCCGGGATTTTGTTTCATGGGAAATCAAACAAAAATAAGTTCTGCAGCTAATTCTACACAGACTGCTTTTCCAATGGAAAACAAATACAGGGCCCTCTGCGACTTCCCATAAATTCTCGACTCCAGAGCTGAATTTCTGTATCAAAATGCATAGGGGCTATATATCTGTACTTGATAAACACAAAGCTTTATTTACATTGGTGGAGTGCCCGTAAGGTCTTCTATTAAAAAAAAAAACCGGAAACAGAAAAAGATATAATTGAAAGCAACTAAAATCAATGTCATCAAATTAAACAGAGTAAGCATAAGTATTGAAGTAAATTAAATTAAATCAGGGGATCAATAAAATTGAAATT